TTATGTCCAGTAAAATCCACCCTTCTCGGTTGTACTGTGTATGTTATGTATTTGACAAACACAGCATCCTGTAGCCACCACCATCAGATGTGTAATACCCCCACCACTCCAAAACTTTCTTTGTGCTGCCTCTTTGTGGTCGATCACCTTCCACTACCCCCAGCCCTTTGGCAACCACTTTTCTGACTTCCTCCCTTAGAGTTTTCTCTTTTCAGGAGGCCTCTTCTCTAGCTGGGCAAAATGCTTTTGAGATTCACGCATACGTTGCACGTATCAGTAACATGTTCCCTTTCTACTGCTGAGTAGTAATCCCTTGTATGAATACATGACAGTTTATCCATCCACTAGCTGATGGACATTTAGGTTCTTTCCACCCTTTGGCAATTGTGGTCTAATTATTTGCATAAAGGTCTTTAAGTAGATAGGGATTTTCATTTCTCTTGGGTGGGACTGGTGGTCTCATCATAAGTGTAAGTTTGACTTTATTAAGAAACTGCCAAACTGGACTGGGAGGGTTCTATGCAAATCACAGGGGAGACGCTGACTTCACCGGATGGAAACTGTAATTAACTCAAACACCCAGCTACATGAGTCCAGCTGCGGGAACTGTATAACCACTAGTGACCAGAAACTGCCAAAGCCTAGAGTGTTTGAGGGAAGGTGGGACAATGAAGAAAGGGACACCTGTGGCACTTCCAACACACCCAACACTGGGGTGCTCTCTCATGGCCCAGCTGTTCACTCCCAGTGGCTATGGCAGCACTGAAAATGAATGACTGGGTGTTAATGTTTTACAGACTCAAAATACAATAAAATCAGCAAGCCGGGGGCGGGGGGAGGGAGGTTGTAAAATTGATACACAAAGAAACAAATGATCTGAACCATATTTCAAATGAATAACATACACATAAATGGGCCATAACTTAACACAAGTAATTTAAACTATTGAGACCATATCCCCTCAGGCTCAAGACAAAAAGAACTTGAAACATATATTGAATTCTAATTAGTAAGCCTTTTTGCAGACATGAGTTGGTAATTCTGAAATGACATTCTGTACATTCTGAGATTGAGCAAATAATACATTGTGGATAATGGGAGCCACGTTTCTCACTGTTGGAGAAGAAGAGAGTTATGTAAGTTGCAAAAGGGGGAAGGATGAAGAGTGCCTGAGAAGTCTCTTTTTCTTTTTTTAAGATCTTATTTTTAAGTAATCTCTACCCCCAACATGGGACTCAAAACTACAACCCCGAGATCAAGAATTGTGCTCTATCAACTGAGCCAGCCAGACACCCCAGTACCTCGGAATCCTTCATACTATTTTTCCAAATGTGAAAAAAAGAGAAAAGAACAGTTGGACTAGACCAGTGTTTCTTAAACTCCCTTATATTAAAAATCACTTGGGGCTTTTGATAAAAATTTAAAACTCTAGGACTACTTTTCCCTCCCAAGGTTTTCTGCATCTATCCATTTGGGCCTGACAATGTGCATTTTACATCATCAAACACATTTTTGAAAGGCTGGATTAAATTATCTTGGAGGTTCCTTGTTCCATGCTTTAGAGGAGGCAAGAATTAAGCCAATTTTAGAAATCTGTTGCCCCGAGTGAAGAGAATGGGTGTGGCAACTCTCTCTTTGTCTGAAATACATGTATTAGAGAGTTGAAGCATTCATACAAGTACCAAGAGGACAGAGGAAAACCCCCCTGGCACAATCTCCCAGGGAGAACATCCAGGAGAAATTCCATAATTCTTCAAAGGTCAAATGATCCATACATTTTCTAGAGTTACACATTTTGGAATGAGTGGCTTGATTTCCATCCTTCTAACAGGACAAGTACTTACTGGTCTTGGGGCCTTTGCATATATGCCACCTCGACCCAAAACACCTGCCCGGCAACATGCTGGCAATGTGGGCCCTTTTTTGCCCATCAAGGCTCTCCTCAAATGTCAGCTTCTCGGAGTGGCCGTCCAATCTCACCTGCCCTGTCCCTCCCACCTCCGTTTCTCCTCCAGGCTTATTTCCTTTAGAGTACTCACCACTATCTGAACTGATCTATCTTTTCCTGACAATCAGCACATTTCCTCCACACAAGTGAGGTGGCTTTTCCTCACTTCTCCTATCCCCAGCCCCTAAAACAGTGTTCATTCTATATATATCAGGCGCAAAATAAATATTCACAGAATGATTTAGCAATGCACACATGTATAGGAATCTCTTTCTTACAACGAATGAACGCGTTTGCAGTGATAGGTGAAACATAATCAAATCAAGTGGGAAATAGGTCTTTATTGTAATAAATAAATTTTATTTTCTTTCTCCCACACAATTTAAGAAAACCAGACATTGCTGTAAGTTGGAAGAACATCTGAGTTTGGAAATGGGTCTTTGCCTTTTCATCCATGATGCACTGTTGGCTAGAAAATGAGAGGCTGGCATTCAACTAATATGTTATAAAGTGTTGTCATACAGTGTTAATAGCTGTTTCATATAGTGCCAAGGCCAAAACAAATTTGGGACACAATAGAGCCAAATGAAGGGTCTCTGCAACACATGTGACCTCACCGTTCTCTTCCACCTTGCCTTCCTTAGAACTTCTCACGTGAGCTGGGTTCCACAACAAGCACTTTGAGAAAGACTACAGCAGACCAAATATTTAGACCACTTTGTACTCAAATGATTTCTAAAACCTCCCACTTCTCATTCTAATCCACAGTGACAAATTCCTTTTCTCTCCAAAACTGAGCAATGGAAAGTGAAACTCTTAAGATGAGCGGAGGAAGGTGAAGTTGACCACATGGCCTCATTCAAACACATTCAAGTTTTATCCCAACTGTAGCATCTGGGAAATTTTGGAGTAGTGTTTCTCAAGAAAGGGGAGGAAGAACGGGGACATCCCATCAGGAGTCTGTCACCCCCCACAAAATCCCTTTTGAGGCAGTGCCGTGGCGAGCAGTCCCTACCAATGGAAGAATGGCGTATCTCCAGGGCGAACTGAGACACTCAAAAAATGCTGAGAGCCACTACATGAAAAGACCTCTTCCCAGTGAGGTCTTCAGCTTATCCAATGCCAGCCTTTTTGACTTTCTGGGATGGCTTACGCAAAACTCTACCCCCATTACTCTTAATACCTAACAGTAATTAATATATGTGAACCCATTTTCCACATCTAGAAGTTTCCAAATCAGTATATTGGAACTGTTCTCAAATTTTAACTTGTAACACTGTCCAAAAGTATACCATGGGACTAAGTTTACCAAACATCTAAAAACATTATGAAATACTGCTCCTATTTTGTGGATTTAACATTTCTTTTCCATTTAACATTTCTTTTGCAGTATGATGAAAAAGCCACATAACCAAAAATTAAATAATCTAAAGGTCCTTCAGATGAATCACCTATTACCTTTCAACAATTTCTGAGCTAAACAAAGAACATTATTTTACTCTCTCTAAATAAGAGATATTAAAAAAGCTTCATGTCTTTGGCATTACTAGAATAGGGTATTTAAACTTTGTACTTCTCAGCATAAAATTGCAGTTACAGCAAGAAGAAATGGAAGTGCACAGACCCTGCTGGAGTAAAATTCCACTAACTAACAGTGTCAGATCATTGCCAAAAACGAAATTTTGTCATGCAACGGCAATTAATGTATCAAAAATTTACCAGCCCATATAATTTTATCAGTCTACCTTCCCCAGAGGAAGTAAACAGATAATAAAACTAATGAAATCATATTTCTTGACCACTCTCATCCAATATAAATTTTTACTTGTCCTTAGAGGATTGGATGATGAGCTATTCACAAGGCCGTTTGGGTTTCTGGGCCAGTTAACCATAGAGGCAGTATTCTAAGATATGGGGGTGTTCCTGAGTCAGCAAAGAAGATCCTGCTTTGTGATGGACAGCCCCTTAAGTCATTAGCAAGTGCAGATCAGGGGTTGATGGGCCTCTGTTAAAAACTGTTCGGCATCAGCATTTCTGTACTCTCTGAAAACACCATGAAATACTAAACTTTAACTCCCAATGCAAAAGATGAGAAAATGCTCAGGCTCATGCAGAGTAGAAAGCAGGGGAAACATCCTTAGGTGGTAAGTCGCTGAAAATTAGGTCAATCCCAGCAAAGCTGATAGGCCCAGTGCCTTCTGGAATTCGTGAGGAAAGCATCTCTTCAAGTTTGGCCTGGGGCCCTTCTGCATTAGAATCACCTGGGGACTTGCTCAGATTTAGGGCAAATCTCCTCTAAAGGACCTACATTTTAAACCATGTACAAATGCAGAATCTCCTGACTTTGCCTGGAAATCTGCATTTATCACAAACCCACCAAGTGTTTCTGATTCACGGTAAAGCTCGAGAATCACTACAGTTGACCAACCCTTTAGCAAGGTCTTAGCATCCTCTGCACATGACACTAACATCTGCAGCATTTAAAATGCTGAAGCGACATCAAATGTATAACATCCCCAAATATCGTGCTGCCACTCATTTAAAAGGTGACAGATGAACACAGCCAACTGGGCTTAAGTCAGCCAGCCCCCACCCATAACACAATGGACCTGTACTACACAATACTGTGCAGCATCAAACTGGCAACGAGAAAACAGAGAAAAACACAACGTGGACACCCAGCCATGTGGACTTTTAAGAAGATCCAAATCGACATGACATGGGAATTGGCACTTTAAGGCAGAACAGACCTGTGGGAAAGAAGACTCTTTCTATTCATTCCCTTCACTAGGTGGGGAAAGAAGACCCTTCCCCAAACCAGGTCTCTCCATTCTGGAGTGCTTGCCCTGTCCCCAGAGCTCCCACAGACCCAGCTTCCTCTTCTTCAGGTTCCTTACACTGATCTTTCTGGCTCGTCCCTCCCACTGCGGAGCTCTTAGCAGATGCAGTGCTATGTGGAACTCATCAAATGAAGCAAGTTCCATTTGCAAAGGGTAATACTACAAGGGTGGTAAAGCTTCATTCAAGTGTTTAATAGTCAAGCTACAATACAAGGGTGGTATGCTTAATCCAACTGTTTAAAGAGAATTGAAAAACCCATTTTAAATCAATTTAAAACTTAATGAAATATTAAGAATCTGCCCAAACAAGGACTTACTTGAACCCATCTTCCCCTTTTAAAATCATAATATAGAATCAGTGCACCTCTAGAGAAATTTCCCCAGTTCAATATCTTATTGACATGAACCCACGCAAAAATGCTAAGACATCAGCCATTGTGAATACTTTCGACCTTTGGAAACAGGCACCCTGCCCCTGGCTTATGGTGGTTAGGATGTTGTAGCTTAAGGTTGACATCTGGCACGAGAAGCACATGGTCTGCATCATGTTTCTTTTTTATGTAATTCTGGCTCAGGAATCCGATACAGAGCAGCTGAGAAATAAATTATGTTGCTGAGGCTGAAGATGAGGCACAGAAGGATGGCTCCAGTTATCTGAGGGAAAGACAGGGGCCTGGAGTGGGCCAGGAGCCATTCCTTCCTCAGAGCCTTGTCCAGAAGTATGGCTTCCATCTGCATGTGAGTGGCCAGTATCACACACACATGGAACAGCTGGTGACTGTGACCTACGGCAAACACAGAAAAGGCCACCAAGATCAGCAATAAAAAAGGAACAGATTATTGATACTACACTGTGACCTGCAGGCCAGACACGTTATGCTGGGTGAGAGAAGCCAGGCACCAGAGACCACGTACTGACAGATTCTGTCTACATCACACATCCAGAAAAGGCCAATCCACAGACATGAGGTAGATTAGTGGTGGCTTCAGACAGGGGGTCGGAATTGGGACTAACAGTACGTGGGCATGAGGGATCTTACTGGGGTGACGATAATGTTCCAAAACTCATTTATGGGGATGGTCGTACAACTTGGTAAGTCCGCTAAAAGTATCGCTGAATTGTATACTTGAAATTAGGGAATTGTTTGGTATGTAAAGTATGCCTCAGTACGTTTATTTTTTAAAATGCGGTGTGAGGGAAAAATAAAAAGGCCATCCGAGCAAACCAAGTCCATGTTTCGAACACCTTATCCACCAGTCCTGTATTTCACGTGAAGAGGTCTGGCATCGCGTTCTGCCAGAGGTCGCCTCTTCAGGGCCAGCACTCATCGGCTCCGATTCTGACTTCAGTGCCAACGGAGAAGCCCTCCAGACTTTCTGTTGGCCCCAGACCTCAGAATGTGACCATATTTGGAGATAGGATTTCTTAAAAAGACAATTACATGAAAATGAGGCCACTAGATTGGACCTCTGGTGACTGGTGTCCCTCTAAGAAGAGGAGGTAAGGGCCTGGGCAGGCACGTACACCGAGGAAAGACCATGTGAGGGGAGACAGAGAAGCGGGCAGTCCGCAAGCCAGGGAGAGAGGCCTCGGGAGAGCCCAACCCGGCCCCCACCTTGGTCTCAGCCTCCCGGCCTCCAAAATACTAAGAAAATGCATTTCTGTTGCATAAGCCCCCCAGGCTATGATTCTTTGTTAGGGCAGTCCTAGCACCCGAATACAACACAAGAGTTCAAAAAGGATTCTTTCAGGCGGTGCCAGGGCTGCTGCACAGCTAGCGGAGCCACGGTCCGGACGGCAGCGCGGGCCCCGAGCTCTCCGCCTCCCCCCGCCCGCCAGCCCGAGGCCCCCCCGCGAGCCCAGGCCGCGGCCCCCGCAGCAGCGCCATGGCCGGGTGGGACGCCTACATCGACAACCTCATGGCGGACGGGACCTGTCAGGACGCGGCCATCGTGGGCTATAAGGACTCGCCCTCCGTCTGGGCCGCCGTCCCCGGGAAAACCTTCATCAACATCACGCCAGCTGAGGTTGGTGTCCTGGTTGGCAAAGACCGGTCAAGTTTTTTTCGTGAACGGGCTGACACTCGGGGGCCAGAAATGTTCTGTTATCCGGGACTCACTGCTGCAGGATGGGGAATTTACCACGGATCTTCCATACCAAGAGCACCGGGGGAGCCCCCACTTTCAACATCACTGTCACCATGACTGCCAAGACGCCAGTCCTGCTGATGGGCAAAGAAGGTGTCCACGGTGGTATGATCAACAAGAAATGCTATGAAATGGCCTCCCACCTGCGGCGTTCCCAGGACTGACCTCGTCCGTCCCTTCCCACCACTCCCCACGGCTTTTGCACCCCTCTCCTTCCCAGACACACACATACACCATTTTTATTTTTTGGGCCATTACCCCACACCCCTTATTGCTGCCAAAACCACATGGGCTGGGGGCTGGGGCTGGATGGACAGACACCTCCCCCTACCCAAACCCCTCCTGTGTGTGGTTGGAAAACTTTTTTTGGGGGGTTTTTTGTTTTTTGTTTTCTGAATAAAAAAGATTCTACTAAAAAAAAAAAAGGATTCTTTCAGTAAAAAGAGAGAGAGAGAGAGGTTATACCCTCTGCCAGAGTAAGTATTCAATAACTGTGTCCCAGGAAGGGGGCAGCCTGGGCACCTGCGCTCCGGAGCAGAAGCAGAGTCAGGAATGGGAGTGTGGGAGCGAGAGCCCTCTCAGGTGGGTGGCCCGAGCTCCTTACCACAGCTCCTGCCGGCCCCCCAGGCTGTGTTCCCTGGGCAAGAAGGTGTGCCCGGATGAGCCGCCCCTGCCTCGCTCAGGCTCTATACTCAGGGGCTGTGTAGGATTGCCAAATCCATTTGGGGTGCAGCAGAGTGGCTTCTCATCCAGCAGAGAGCCCTGCTCTCCAAGGACACATCTCCAAGCAGAGAGAGGTGACTAGCTGAGCTCACCGAGGCTCAAACCTGTCTGCATCAGAGCAGGAGATAAAAAGACGGAAAACGCCATGGACACAGGATGTATCTGAAAAGTGATGTCAGCCCTCCAGCCCGACAGGAATGTGGAAGAGCTTCCTAGGGGCCAGCGCCTCACCGCTAAGCACTTTGGCCCGCACTGCAGAGGGAGGCCCACGTCTGGCAGGCTCCATTAATGCAGAACAGAGAATTTTCCAAACCCCTTGTTGATGATCTGTCATTAACAATCGTCTGGCAAATGTCCCATTATACGGTTGTCTTTTTGCTCTGCACCCCGAGGCCCAAGAGGATGGGACATAAGGTGAATGAATGATACGTCGTTAAGAAACCAGGGAGTTGGCAAAACAAGGCCCAGGGCTACTTTTCCTGCAGCCCCCAGACTTCATATACAACCACCTCTGCTTCATCGAGGCGAGGCTGGGGGTGGATGTGGCTCCTGCAGGCAGGCTCCAGTTCCCAGGCCCTCTTGTCTCCCTCCTTTTTTGGGGAACCTGCCCTCCAAGCCTTTTGGTCTTTACGATCCCTAAGTGAAGGGGATGAAGCTCTTATCAGAGTCCACAAAGCAAATCTGGCCACATCTACGGTGGGAGGAGATGGAAAATCACCGGGCAAAATGGGCTTGGGGAGCACCAAGGTCCACCATTTAAGGACAGGGACTGACCCTTGGATGCCCACGATAGCTTATCTAAGGAACGCTCATCCCCGGGACTCATCAGCCTCACCAGAAGTGGCCCAAGGGTGCCTCCTCCAGCCAGTGCCCACCCTGCTTCCCTAGACAGGGAGGGAAGGAACTCTCCCAGCAGGTGGAGGTCCCATGGCTTGGACGGCCCCTCCCCCACCACATCACTTCTCTCACTGTAGTGAGCTCAGGTTCCCCTGGAGAGTCAGTCACACAGCCTGAGTGGGTGCGGGGGCCCCGGCCTCAAGCTTCTGGTGTGGGATTTCTGGGGTGGGGCCTGAGAACCCGCATGTTCCCAGAGGATGCTGAAACTGATGGTCTGGGGCCAGACCTGAGAACCACTGTTCTACCAAGATTCCTGGCCCCACGCACCCACCTGAACGTGACAGACGCTCTCACCCTCCCCCGCCTTCTAGTCGCCTCAGAGCCAGCTGCACTCTGTCTGTCCTGTTCCCCTCCTGGGCTGCCCTCAATGGCTGTTGAATAATGGGATTTCATGTTCTGGGTAATAATGGCACTCCCCGGGCCCCATAACCCATGGGAATGCCTTAGAACCCTAGATCCACCTGCTCTCCATCCTCCCCCACCGTCCGCTGCCATCTGCTGGCTGCATACAGCCTGGCCTCCAGTTCCACTCCCCTTGGCCTGCTCCTAGACAAGCTCCTGAGGAATCCCTTCTCTCTCTGCCCCTGCTTCCCCTTCACACTGCACACACTGGTGTCAGGGGCAGGGGCTCTCTCCGGGTTGGAGGACACCAGGCAACAGGGCCCCCGCACACTCACCAATGTAGTCGAAGCGTCCAGGTGCCAGGCGCTCTGGCACGTGTGCAGAGTAGAAGAAAGAGGCCAGGAGGGTCATGGCCATGTGCTTCTGGTGGTTCAGGACGGCTTCATTCTGCGCACTCTCCCCGGGGAGCAGGAACAGCTGCAGGCAGTTAGAGAAACATCAGGTCTTGAGGGGAGGCCCTCTCCCTTCTCATCGCCTAACGACGTCTCTGCGCACACGTGTGGTCGTCATAGGCCCAGGCCCTCACCTCCTCAGGTCTGTGGCTTGGAAAGGAACTCGGGGACTGTGTGAGCAGAATTCCCATCCTGACGGTGATCATCTGAGACCCAGAGCAACTATTTTAATCCTCCAAGTGCTCATAAAGCCTTTTGGGTTATTTAGGTACAAAAGAAAAGAAAAGGTGTGAAGGAAAAGAAAAATCCTATTAGACCTATTGCTACTCTACTGTCTGGGGGTAAAATGTAAGTATAGTAAAAAGTGGTCTATTCACCCTTGAACTCACTTCTTACCAGCACACCGCCTGGTTTCATGTTCCTAGTTAAGGCTTTAAGGCCCAGAAATCCCTGGAAGGCCTTCTGAGTCATCAAAATGTATTAATTACGGCCGTGATGCTGTTTGAGAGCTAAGCCTAGTTGTTGTGTTATCATTATGAATAGTGACAGCGGCGGTCACTAACCTGGGGCACTGGGCCAGCCCCTCTCTCGGGATTTCATCAGCGCCTCGCCTCAACAATTACCATGAGGCAGACCCTAGCTTCCCATTTTGCAGGATGAGGAAGCCTGGCCAGAGGGTGACGCGAACCACTAAGGAGCGGTGAAGTCAGGATCTGGATCCAGGCAGGCTGATTGCTGAAGCTGCGTGCTCATCAACGTCACCGGTCAGGATGAGGCCTCCCCTCCCCATTGCCCACCGTCGGCTGCAGCCGAGCGCCAGGAGCGCACAGTGTCCCTAATAACACGGACCTCGGCTATGCGATTGGGTGGGGCGTGGGGCCTGCTTGTTCTCTCTGCTCTGGTTTCCTATGTGTGTTCTCTGTCCTCCAGGAAGGAGTCCGGGGGGGTCTTCCCCAGGCCCACACAGGTGGAGCCAGCTCTGACCCTCCCCTTCCGTCCCTGCCTCATGCATCAAGCCTCAGGCTGCCCCTGGGAGGGGAACTCCAGTCACCGGGTGCAGGCCATGTGCCAGGCACGGCTGAGCCCTTCAGATCTGCGGATCAGATGAACCCTCTCCACCCTCCTGTGCAAGACGGGATGTTAGCTTCCTTAATGGATGAGGAAATTGAGGCTCAGAGAGGTTACGTGCATTGCCTAAGGTCACACAGCCAGTGAGCAGTGGGACTGGGATTTGAACTCAGGTCTGTCTGATTTGAGAGTGCCCGGGCTCGCCCCCTTCTTGTGTCCCTCCTACAACCTCTTCCTTCGTGTTCTCTGTCTAATCCCCATTTATCCTTAAGACCCCCATTCATACTTTTTCCTTTGCTCCTAGTATGTTAATTGATAATACATAATAATGCATTTATTGGACACTTGTCACCAGCTAGCATTTTATATGTTCTCTCCTGTAACCTCCCCCACAGCTGATGGACCGAGGTGTTACTACCATACCCATTTTACAGAAGAGGGTAATCAAGGCACAGAGATAGTACATAACTTGCCAAAGTCTTACAGCAAGTACCTATTACAGATCTGCCTCCAGAGCCCACTCTCCTGGCCCCCCCACTAACCCCCAGGCTGCCTCCCCTACCCAGCCTTCCATGATTACTTCTGAGCCCCCAGTCAGTGCCGGCCACTGACGCGTCGCCTGTGGTTTGTCAGGGCGTCTATGTTCCTGCTATCTCCTCACTGCTCTGCAGCTGCTCTTAAGGAAGGTCTCAACTCCCACGTGTCTTGCAGTGACCGGCCTGGTGCTCTGACCCCGAGGACCTCAGGAAACAAGAGATTCCCTGGTGTTGCTAACAGGCAGAGGAAAGACGGAGCTGGGCCCTTACCCTGTAGAAGATGGGGAGGGAGTCCCAGGTGTAGGGATAAGCAAAGGCCAGGACGCGAAGCATCTTACAGAGCCCGGGCTTCTGGATTTCAAGAAACCTAAATCAGGCAGGAAAAAGGAGGAAGAGACTGGAATGAAAACAGTTTCAGTAAATGACATACATGCATTCACATTACAAGTAACCGAGGGCAAGTCATCAACAGAAGGCAAGTACTTTGTGCAACCCCCTCCTGAGACCAGCAGCTTCTCCGCCGGCCTCGTCCATTGCTCCCGCCCCCAGTGGCAGCATGTGGAAAGGCCTCAGGGGAAACCATCTCCTGGGGCCGCATCATGAGAAAGCAGTCCTGTCCGAGGAAGCCAGGGAGGAAGTCCTGGGCTGGAAAGGCCCTTCAAGAGGCAAGTTATCTAACTGCTAAGGAGCCTTTACAAAGTCCAGTAACAACAGGACAGGGAGACATGTGGGGCGTGGGTGGCCCCCTGGCACAGGCTCCTGGGGTGAGCAGGCCTGGGAAGGATGAGAGATCTAACCAGTCAGAGCTGCCCAGCTGATCGCTGTGCAGAAGCCCCTGGTTCAGGGAAGTGCTTAACGACTTGGAAGAACTTTCTGGAATCCTTAGTGCCACACCCAGGGACACTGGCCTGGGGAAACTGAGTAAATGTGGCCTTTTCCCCTCTTCTTCGTCAACCTGCCTCCAGGCCAAAGATGAAGCCAATGTTAAAATGAGTGGTGCTGACTGTAGGGCCTCTGGGACGGAGCGCCATGGGGCCTCAGCGGCCTTGGAACCGCTGAGGCGGGGCTGGCAGCCCCGGGGGGTGGGGGGTGGGGGCAGATGACAGGCTGGATCCCGGGAGGACATGAGAGGAGCAGGGAGAATGTCCACACAAAATCACAGCCCTGAGCAGGGGCTCAGGTAAGGAGTGCTCAGGCCCCAGGCTGGGCTGCCCAGGCAGGGGGGCAGGGCAGGCCCCCGCTTCCATACCACAGCAGACTGTGGAGGGCTGGGTCCTCTCTCGGTGCCCACAGGGGTCCCCACGAAGGTGGTGTGCAGACTCAGGGCGCCAGGGCCGGTGTGGTGGCTGTTCCAGTGCAGTCAGTCAGACAATGGAGACCCTTGGGCCCTCCTAGCCCTCCCTGGCAGTCCCGCCCCTCAGCGCGCTCTCCACGGGGGAGGGAGTCGCGTCCCAGCACTGCTCCCCACCCCTGTTCTCCAGACGCCCTGTCCCAGCCCACAGCCTGCCCTTTCCCCCACCAAACACAATCTGCTGCTCCACCCAACCCGGGCCCTCGGCCCCTGGCCAGGTTTACTCCTGGCCCCACAGCCGGTTCAGTCACCTGACTACAAAGCCCTCTGCTCCCCATGTCCTTTGGCATGGGACAGGGCAGAGACTCCCACACCCGCCCCCCAAGCCGTCAGGGGACCCTCACATCCCCCAGGCTGGTGTGTTATGCCTAGCCCTCAGGGCAGCCAAGCATGAGGATCCCTGCTCCAGAGTAAGAGGCAGCCACTGTGGGCCCTGAGAAGCCCCCCAGCTTATCCCCTCCAGGGATAAGCTCCAACGTCTCTCAAGCCTACTTCTGCAGGTCTCTCCTCTCCTGACCCCATCCTAAGTCATGGCAGACATGGGGTAACAAAGGAAGAGAAGCTGAAAGAAAAGGAGGAAGAGAAATAAGGGACCTCAATTTATCATCCCCCCAAACAAGACCCCCCAGCCTTGGAGTAAACCACCAACCCTGGGAGAGGTGAGGCGGCACTGGGCCATGATTCATAAGCAGTGTCTGACCTGGACAGCCTGGCTTCGAATCCTGCCTCAACCCTCCGTGATCATGTGACCCCAACAGGTTACATAACCTCTGTGTGCTTCAAAATCCTCACGTGTAACGCAGGGACAACGACTGTACCCCATCGCGGGCTTGTTGCAAAGATCTGATGAAACCATACTTGCAAGGAGCATACCCACCTCACAGAGGAATGCTCGGTAAATGGCAGCTTTTAATAAAAGGTGTGTAATGAGATTCATTCTCTCCCCTTCCCCACCTTACAGCTGTGCTGTGCCAGAAAACAGGAACAGGAGGGGACAGACAGGTTCTGGGTGACTTGCCTAAAGTCAGGTGAGCTGATAAGAGGCGAAGCTAGGATTTATATCCAGCGCGGTCTGGCTTCCAAGTGTCACAGCCCCACCCCTCCAGCAGGCTGAGCAGGCCTCGGACCACCACCCAGCCTCCATCCTTGCCTATACTGCCTCTGCCCCAGGGAGCAAAAGGGGCACACTCCCGCTGCCCCCCACAGCCAGAGCCTGGCTCAACAGCCTTCACAGCCTACCCTGGCCAACCCAGTCCAACCGCAAGCCCGCTCCCTCCTTCCCCATGCACGGCCACCGTCTAACCTTGCTGGGTTCAAAGAGGCTCCCTATGAAAGCATGCTCTTTCTGTGACCACTTACACAGGAAGAAAGCTGGCTCTGGCTGGCGAGGGCCATCCCCCAAACCATGGATTTCCTGTGACTTGAGACAACATTTCTCCCAGCCTGATAAAGTGCTTCCCCAGGGGCAAACGAACCAGCCTCTCCATCTGCAAAGCCGAGTCTACAGGGAAAAAAAGGAGAAAAAGCAGAACAGAAGAGAGCAACACAGAATAAAAGGTGGAAGGGCCAGCAGCCACAGAGAGGGGCCTCCCACTACCAAGGTGCAATTCCACAGTTAGCCACAGGGCGTCGCCCCAGCCAGAGATTCCAGGAAGGAGGGGCAGGAGCCACAGAATCCTCCAAAGCACTAGTTGCCCCCAAGTCTCAGAAGGCCCACCTGGGAAGACAGTCCCTGCACCGCAGAGCGGAGACACCAGTTTAGGGAAGTCAGGCCTCATCTGCCTAGAACCAGGTTGGCAGGAAACACTGGATTTTGGCAGAAGCCTCCACTAGGAGAGGGTCAATGCAATATCAGTCTGTTCTAATACCTGATAAATCTTGTTGCAACAAAGCCGACAGGATGTGCAAGCAAATTTTGGAACCAGCGCTTGAAACTAGTGGGTCTTTGGAAACATTCTATTGCAGAGGGGGTGCGCGCACACGCCTGTGTGTATTGTGTGCGCGGTATGTGGTTATGGCTGTTTTATTGCATGGGTGACATCACAGGAATGCGCACTTTGTCATCTGGCTGAGCCCTCTGACCTCTAGAGGTGTCTGAGAACCACTGACTGCCCATGAGCCTCCTGACTCCAGCTCTGCCCTCCAAACCCTCTCCCGGCCACAGCACCACCCACCGCCACGGCATGGCTCTCACCGAGCAGCCCACTTCCACCAGGGATGAAAAGTCACCTCTCTCTCTCACAGCACTGACCACAGGACATTTCACCGGGCAACTGTTTGTCAAAACAAAACGACTTTTGGATGCCTTGGATGAGTGAATAAAGTGCCTACGGTGACTTGTGATGGACAGCAAACTCTGGGTGACTGACGTCCCTAAGGGAGTGAGGACGCCTTCCTAGGCTTCTGGGGGGCCAGCAGGATGAGTAGGCAGGGTCTCCGTCACCCCACCTTGCTCTGAGAGGCACAGAGAGGTCATGCGTTCTCTCGTCTCCCTTCTCAAATGCTACAGAAGAAGGCAGGCAGGTTTCTGGAACATTCATTTGAACTAGATTCCAGGGAGCCCACAGTGCTCAGTACTATAAAGGACCGAATGCCATTTAGACTGTGATATTCTGGCAAGCACGTGAATAACTAAAGACCACTCAGGAGGTCTGTGGTCTGCTTCTTGCTCCGGGAAGGAGATGGCCGCTCTCTGCCACTCCCTGCCACACCATGGACTGATGGAGCCTGAGGCGGAGGCAGGGTGTCCTTGGGGGAGGAGGAAGGCGAGGAGAGAGATCTCAGAAAAGACTCTGAAGCCCTGGCATGGTAGAACACCCAGAGACATCTTCTCAGATGCCCTGGTTTAAGGTGAAGCCAGAAGTCCGTGAAATCCGGGAGCCCGGGGCGGGGGGTTCTCCAGAAGTGAATGGGGGCCGAGTCACTCCTGGTGCAGGAGTCAGCCCTCTCACTCCTCAGACACTGAAGACAAAGAAGGGGATGAAAACAGGAAAAGAGGACCAGGCGAGAAGGGACCTCACAGGGCCCTCAGATGGGACATCCCACTCTACCTCTGGCCCCCTCCCTCGGCTTCCGTTCCAGCACAGGCCTCCTCCAGCCCCCTCGCCGGCAGCCAGCAACACGCCTGGAAGCCCCTCGGCTCGGAAACTGAGGCCGTGGAATGGCCCTCCTGCAGAGATCACTGTCCTTCACTAGCACAGGACCAGTCTACGGCAGGACACACAAGGCACTTCAGATCCCAGCCACTGTGGGAGACCCTCTCCAGCCACGCTCCTCCTTCCAGCTGGGCAGCTCCGGCAACTCGGAAGCCCCTTGCCGCCTCGCAGGGCTGTCTTCTCCGGCCCCCTCGCCCTGTGCGCTGTTTGCTCTGTCCCAAAGGCCCTTCCCTCCTCTCCAGCTCAGGTGTTCAACCTCCCTCAATACCGAGTCCTAGTACCACTTTGCAGAACTTTGTGTATCCAAGCAGGTGTCATTTTGTATTATCATTAGTTGCATACATTACATTCTGTAACGCTATATTTTATATGCCATTTCCTTTGGCCTTTAGAGGAAATGATGACTCCATCTGGGCTTCTGGGGGGGTCTGCAGTTGGCTTCAACTACTGCACTGGGTGCTCTCTCAGGGCAAGGGCTGGGCCTCACTCCTGCTGGTATTCCCAGATCTTAACATGATGCCTGGAGCATGGCAAACATTTAAGGAATATTGAGCAGTTGGTTGGTTGGTTGGTTGACTTGTTGGTTGTTTGGTTGGTTGGTTGGATGGATGGATGAATGGATGAATGAATGGGTGGATGGGTGCATGAATGGATGGGTAGGCAGATGGGTGGGAGGATGGATGGATGGATGGAGAGGCAGATGTATGGGTAGATGAGTGGATGGATGGATGAGCAGGTGGATGGATGAGTGGATGGGTAGGTGGATGAGTGGATGGCTGGATGGGTTGGGCGGATAGATGGATAGATGGATGGTTGGGTAGGTGGATGGCTGAATGGGTGGGTAAGATGGATGGATAAGTGGTGGTTGGGTAGCGGGATGGTGAATGAGGAGGTGGCTGGATGAATGGTTGGAGAGATGGAATAGCAACAGATGTGTCCCATAAGTAAACAGAAATAATCCATTTCATTGACAAGAGAGAAACCTCCAAACACAGGCATCAGGAGATTCCTGGCCAGCCTGCTCTGTCAAGTAAGTTTGTCCAAAGGTAACAGGCATGCCACATCCAGAAGACCCATTTATTATTAACAACCAGGATGGACTTCTGGCTAGAAGAAAACCATCTACCCTGGTGGCTTATAGATGATTCAGGAAGCTTTAAGAAAAAAGAAAAAAAAAAAAAAAAGGCAGCAAATTTGCATTGGGGGTTCTTAGGAAAACAGTCCTGGATCACGAACTCCGGGACTTCTTCTTCAACACTCATGGAGCCTTCCATGCCCCCTCAGCCCACAGTGCTCACCTCTCACCCAAACAGCACAGCTACACAGCCAACAGGAGCTAACCAGACAGGATTGTGACTCATCCAAGGACCAGAGCTAGGTGTGTCCACACATCTGGGCCCCGTGCCTCTGGGGCATGCTTCATCTCTCCCGGGCCGTTGCTGGCATCCTGGTTACTTTTCTATGTGTGTGTGTGTTATGCCTTGTCTCACCCAAGGCAGGGCCCCATCCCCTCCTCCCCATCACCCGTGCAGCCCTCAAAGCTCCACCCTGGCACAGAGGCTGAGCTCCAGAAAGTTTCTAATCGACAAGAGTCCTTGAGCAAGTGGGGAGGAGGCAAGAATAAGCCGGTGACGTCTGATTCGGTTTCCACCCCAGTGAGCAGACCCTCTGTCCTCACAGCTGTAGGGGGGCTCTGCATTTCCCAGGGAGAGGGAAGAGAGCTGAGCTTCCACGCCCTCCGCCAGGCTTGTTTTTGTGGGATGAGCAAACCCTCGTTGTTGACACTGAGTCTAGAAATGAGACGCCCTCCCACGCAAAGCAACTCCACGCTCCCAACCGGTGTCAAGACAGACAAGTGGAGACAAGTTGGGGCAAATATTCTTGATGCTCTTTAAGAATCTCTATCCTTCCATTTTTTAAAGAAAACCAGCTTGTCAAGTTTGTGAAACCTGCCTCCCTTCGGTCCCACGACACCTTAGTGTCACCCAAGGAAAGGGAGAGCCACAGTCATTGCAGAGAAGGTACAGAAACTTCCCACCCCCTCCCTTTCTTCCTGGGGGGTGGGGAACAATGGTTCAATGGGGAGACTCCAGCTGGCTCCCCGGAATCGAGATGGGGGCAGAGGATCGGGTGCAACCTGCCAGCCTCCCCTGGGCCCTTTCCTAAGCCACCCCCTCTCCCCAAGAGCCCTCTGGCCCAGGGAGCACCCAGCACCCTGGCACCATCCGGACAGGGCTGTCCCCCCAACACCGCCATTTGAGAGGTTTTCTAAATCATTTAGGGAAGAAGAAATTTGGACAGTTGGCTTTTACAAAGAGCTGAGTAAACTAGAGTCATTAGCCCCCAAGCAATGTCTCTCGGATTCACACTCCAGTGAGCTTTCTGGAGTGAAGTGGATGGGTGAGTGGGTGAGACTCATAGCCATGGGGCTTCCCCAGGGAGTGGGTGAGACTCATAGCCATGGGGCTTCCCCAGGGACACAGCAGCCATCTGAGTATCATCGGCCAGGGAGCAGGTGTGTCTAGACGCAGGCCTGCTCAGTCACTATCAGCAGACTGCCCATCGGTGGGGTGCCGCCTCAGCCAGACGTGCCAGGCACGTTCCCTGCGACCCTTACATCCCCCTCACAAGGTAGGCAGATGTGTGGGCCCCATTTTACAGATGAGCAAACTGAGGTTCAAGAAGGCTAAATAAGCGACCCGCCCCGCAACAGGACCAGCTACAACATTTGTAGGGCCCAGTGCAGAAGGAAAGTGTGGGACTCCTTATTCAAAAATCATGACGAAGTTCAAGACGGTGACAACAGAGTGTTAAGCCAAGTGTGGAGTCCCCTCAAATGTCCCAGATGTGTGCCCGTGGAGTGGGTCTGGAACTGAGCCCCAGGCTTCCGAGAGCCCCTTCCATGGAGCGTCCTCCCCTGCCGCCCCGCCCCCCCGAGGCCCAGAAGCTGGGTACCTGGAGTAGCAGGAGAGGCCGGTGCTGATGATGGTGTTCAGCACGGCCAGGGGCACGTAGTAGTCATGGAATGTGCTGCACACCATCACGTCCGGGATCGAATAGGCCGAGTATGCGATGGCTGAGCCTGGAGAGGAAAAAACCAGCCTTGGACCAGAAGCCAGGCCGCAGTGTAGCCTGGACCCTTGGGAAGCCCAACCCCAGTATCTCGCTGAGACTTGCCACCACACCTCGCTTGTGTCATGCCCCCCCCCCAGAATGTCCTCCCTCTCTTCTCTGCCTCCCCAAACCCTACCCTGCGAATTTACTATGAGCCCAGCGTTGCCCCCAGGGCTTTACACTCAGTAACTCACATAATCCTGACAATCACCCTCTAACATAAACCTGCACTTACCCTCATTTACAGATGACGATGCAGAGGCAGAGAGGGTTAGCAACGCCCCTGGGGGGCACACAGCTAGAAAGCGGCAAAGCCAAGCTCCCACCTGAGGCAATTCAGTGACAGTCCCCCCTTTGATCCCCAAGCTCTGGTCCGTGATGACGCCTCAGAGTGCTCAGCTTTTCTGAGTATGCACATCTCACCCGCCGATGACAGGGGCGCCCCTTGTGGAAAGACGGACATTGCAGGGAGGGAGGGACCTTGTCAAGGGGAGGAGGCATTTGGTATCAGGGGGCTGGGGGACTGGCCAGCTGAGAGGCAGGTGCAAGAGGCTAGCCTTGGTGTTTCATTGTTTTAGGTTTGGGAGTCTGTGACAGGAGGGTTCCCTAAGGGTCCTTGGGAGACCCATCTGCTGCAGCTTTTCTTTGAAAGAGCAGGGGAGATCACTGTCCTTTCCAAAGGGGCCACGTGTGTCCGGAGGCCTGGCCCAGAAGGCCTCTCCAGCTACCCTCACCAGGTCTCCTCTGGGAGAGACAGCCACAGGCCCGTCCGCCCAGGGCCTCAGGGGTCGGCCCTATGCTCACCTGTTATTCCAGAGACACAGAGAAAACTGGAATCCTCGCTCAAGGCTGAAGCAGGCCTCCACCACACAAGTTCAAGCTCTGCCTCTGACCCCATTTGACAGATGGAGTCTGGTGCAGCCAAGTGGTGTTCCCAGGGTCACAGAGGCAGAAAGAGCTGAGAATCAGCAGGCTGCCTATGGGATTTCAGCTGGGAACCGCCTCCTGGGGGACAGACTCTTCCTCAGCCTGATAGGAGCGGGAGGTTCCCCTCTGGACCAGGATGCATTCGCTCTGTGTATGCTGGCTGGGGCCAAGGTGCACGCCAATCTCCACGGGCGACACAAGAGCAGGGGAGCCCCAGACCCTGCCCAAAACGGCAGTGAGAAGCCAAATGACGTCTAGTAAGAAATAGACATTTGGTCTTCACTGTTCCTGGCACAGAGCACCTAAAACCCCTGAATTTCCTAAGCCAAGAGAGCAAGGAAGGTGTCTTTTGTAATGCTAATGAGGTGATCTGGAAAGCAGGGGACCGGAGGGTTGACCTCTGGGAGGGGAAGAGGGGCTGGAGGTTGAATCAATTGTCAATGGCCAATGACTTCATCAGTCATGACAAATGAAGTCTCCATGAAAACCCAAACAGAGGTTCAGAGAGCTTCCAGGTTGGTGACCACGTGGTGATTCAGGGAGAGGAGGCGCACTCAGAGGACACTGAACTCCGAGCCCTTCCCCACACCCTGCCCTGTACATCTCTTCCATCTGGCTGTTCCCAAGTTCTACCCCTTTATAATCAACTGGTAATCCAGTACGTAAAATGTTGCTCTGAGTTCTGGGAGCCAGGGTCATTGGAATGTCAGATGTATAGCCAGTCTGTAACAACCTGGGCTTTCGTCTGGCATCTGAAGAGGGGGGGGGATGGTCTTGTGGGACCAAGCCTTTCACCTGTAGGAACAGATGCGGTCCCCAGGACAGTGTCAGAAATGAGCGGAATTGTAGGACCCCCAGCTGCTGTCGGAGAATTGCTCAGGCTGGCGTGGGGGACAGCCCCCCCAACCCCACACACATTGTATTGATGCTCAGACCACTTTAGAGGGCTTTCTGGGGAGCAGGAATAGAGTCAGCTTTGGATTCCAGGCTAAGGAAAGTAAACATCCTCTTGAGGCCATAGGGAGCCATGGAAGGTTTCTGAGTGAGGGACTAAGACGGCCAAAACCTAGTGAAAGTGCACAGGACGGCCTAGAGGGAGAAACAGCTGGAAACCAGGGAGGAAGTAGGCACAAACACCACCCTCAGGGGACTGTGGGTTTCCACAGGGTAGAAGTGAGAACAGGAAGGAGAGGTGGCTATGCACAAAGGGGCAGGGAGTCTGAGGTGGAAGCCAGAGGCCCTCTCCACTGGCCAGACCTTCCTTCCATGTTCCCAGAACACCCCCGTGTCAGGTACCAGGACACCGGCTGGAAGACCAGACTTGAAGGACCAGTGTCCCGTCCTCAGGGAGCCATTCTGAGGAGCAGAAATGAAGGGCTCACTGACGAGACTGGGGCCCAGAGCTTCAGGGAGGGGGTCCTGGTCTGGGGGCTTGGAGGAAGCCGCGGGTGGGGGCCCAGCCTTGAAGGGTCTGCAGGGAGGGAAAGGGGAAGATCCCGGGGAAGGACCTGTGGGAGGGTACCAGACCCTGAGGAACGCTTACAAATCCAGAAAGCCAGTGACAGGAAGGGAGACAGTCCGGGGTGGCGGCTGACCCCCAGGGCTTTGGTTCGAACACTGGCTCTGCCATTTACAAGCCATATGACCCGACTCACTTCCCTTCCTGGTGCCTCATTATTCTCGCCTGTGAGAGCCACCATCCCAGGGCACGGACGCCAGGGTTCAGGACACAGCCGTGGTGGTAATGGCCCCCCTCCGAATCTAGGTGCCAGGCACTGCACACTCCACTTGCAACACTCAATTCGTCTTCGTGCCGTCCCATGAGGAGGGTATGGTGCCGAGTTTGTGGACGGGAGGATTGGGGCCTGGTGAGGTGAAGAACCTCACCCAGGATTTCAGGGGTGGCGGCGGCTGGGCCACCAGCAAGCACTACATGATGCCGCCCCTCGTGACCTGTCTCAGGTGCCATCCAGGCACCGAGTCTGGGCAGGTGATCAAGGGCTCTGGAAGCCTCTAGACTAAGGAGTTCGAACTTCATCCGGGGTAACTGGGAATCCTGAAAGGTCTTAAGTGGGAGGGGAGCATGGTCAGAAGGTGTTAGAGAAGCCTGGAGGTGGGGTGGGGGGAAGTTGGTGGCAGTCGGGGAGGGCCAGGAGGAGGAGAGGAGGCTGTTGTCAGGGTGCAGGGGGGAGGCAGGAGGGTCTGAGCAAAGGTCATGTTGGGGAGCCATGCGGAGAATATGGGGAAGAGACTCACCTGAACTAACCGACAGGGTGGCAGGGGCATGGGAGGGGGGGAAGCTGAGGGCTCAGATTCTGACTTGAGAGACCAGGTCGGGGTGGAACCATGAGCCAGGTGAGGCACTGCAGGAGCGGGGGCGGACGTGGACAGTCTTGGTCACAGGGCTGGACACGGCGTGGACCTCGGGTCAGTGGTAAGCTAGGATGGGATTGGGAGAGCCCGGTCCAGAGGTGTCCGGGGATGGTGTGAGGTCACCCTGACGCCGGACCACACGAGAGCAGAGGCCCAAGGCCTGATTCGGAGCTTGCCCACTGCCAGGGGAGCGGAGCAGGGAGCCAGCCGAAGACAATGAGAACATGCACAGGCGGGAGGAGAAGCGAGAGTGATGTGACCGGGACCAGAGGAAGGGAGGGGGTTTGGGAGCATGGAGGGGCCCCTGCATCAGAGGCTGGCGAGAGCGCCCAGAAGCAGCCATGTGTCCGCAGTAGGGGCCCCAGCAACTGCGGCTTTAGGAAATGGTGCGGGCTGGACACAGAGCACGGAGGAGTGGGGGGTGACACGGTAAAGCCCGTGTGTGTGTGTGTGCGTGCCTCTGTGTGTACATGTGTATGCGCGCGTTTGCGTGTGTGTGACTTGTGAGAGGGAGGGGAGGAAACAGGATGGAGACAGGATCCTCACGGACACCCCCTTGGGCAAGGGAAGACAATGCCTTTGCTTTCACACCTGGAGCAGGAGCAGGAGGGAGAAGAGGCCAGAGCAGCGGAGACTTGGGGACAAACGGATGCCCACCAGCTGGGGAGAGAAGCGGAGCCAGAAGGAGGGGGCCCCATAATTGGAGGAAAAACACAAGGAGGCTCAAGTATCAACACCCACCCGCACCTGCTTTGGGTTCACCCCTCGGTTCCCATGGCACTTTGAGCACATTGCTAACTTGTCTAAGCCTCTCGACAAGCGGGGTTCATGAGCCCCCTTCTTTGTCAGGCAGGACAGACACCAGCCCTGACGTGCAGAGCTGGCTCACCATGGCCTGTGACGGCAGACGGATAAAGGTTTCAGAGATCTCGCAAGACGACTGTCAAACCCCGCTGACTACCTAAACTGACAATTAAATAACCACATTAACACAAGTAATAACTTTCCGTTAGTGCATCTCCTCTATCTGCATAGAAGAATTACTGCATGATGATGTGCAGGGAGGTCCCACTGGTGGCCGGAAGTTGGTCACGGTGGGGGGTCAGCCTACCCCACAGATCGGGGCTTTTGTCCCCACTGAATCAGTTAATATTTGCCAGCACAGCTCTGGACAAGTTTCTTACCAAACACTCATCAGGAACCTGGAGGAGGCATGGCATTCCCATGACTCTTCCGCAAGCCCATCAAAGCCTTCTGGTGAGCCCAGCTCCCGTGGGGCTGGCAGCTAGCTCGTTCGCAGGGAGCGGAGGGGGACGCGGGGCCCTACGCACCCAGGCTGAAGAGGTTGACGGCCCCGTAGTCCAGAAAGTAGCAGATGTGCCGGGCGTTCTTGGACATGGAGCTGAAGGTGTGTGCACAGCTGGATGCGAGGGGGTACACACAGCTGGTGCCCATGTACACGAACAGAGGCCAGGAGTAGCTGTCATTCTGGATGTCTGTCACATACAAGGCGGTCACAAACCTCCACACGAAGAACCTGGAACACAGCGTGGCCCACTCGACCTCCGTGGCTGGAGGCTCCTCTGCACCCCTCACAGACTATCTGCTGCCCCCCATTCCCCTGGGATAACCAAACCCTGTGTGTTCTTACTTTGGTGAAATACTACGAGTGAGGGACGGTGAGTGCGATCCTTTTACAGTTAGAATTGGGCGGAAGGGGCAAGAGGAGAGCCTTAAGATTTATCTAGTACATTCCTCTCCCCACCTTGCAATGACAGAATCTCTCTTAGAGCATCCTGCCTAAGTGATTCCCCAGGCTCAGCTTGCATGCTTCCGGGGATGGGGAGCTCACCACCTCTCAAGGCAGCTCTAAGTGTCAGGAAATTCTTCACTGAGCTGACACCGGTCTCCCTGGGATCTATCTCCATTTGATCAGCCCGAGTTCCCCTCAACGGGACCACAGAAAACTAGCACATCAAATATCTAAGGCAATCAATCCTCAAAACGCCTCCTCACCTCTTTGAACCTTACATTAAAGAACCCCGTGGCACTCAACCACTCCTCAAAGGATCCACATGGGGCCTTGTCACCAGCCCTGTGGTTTGTCTTTGTCCCCCTGCAGGAAGGTTCCTCAAACAGAAGCAACCTCCCAGGAGGGGCCTGGAGAGTCTAGAAGACAACAGGACGATTGTTCTCCCTCCCCTCCATGCTATTTATTCCTCCTCTAACACTACCATCGCCTTTCTGAGTGGCCTGGTCCCATGCTGCGATCTGCTGAGTCCAGCTCTCTGGGTCCACCCCCACACAGAGACACAGGACAGCTCCCCACCATATCTGCCTCCTCTATGACCCAGGCAAGGGGGCCCTGCCTGCAGAGCTGCCCACTTCCACAGACCAACCGCTGCTAGAAAGCCAGGGCCTCTGCCCGCGGGCTCTCCCAGGGGAGGAGACTCCAACGCTTTTCCCACAGGAACCCAAGGAGCATCCGTCCATCTTCTGGTTACATTTGCGAGATTTGTCCTCCTGTCCCAGCAAAAACAGCACTGAAGCTATGTGCTGGGCTTAAAGCCTATCCGATCATCTCAGGATGACTCCCCGGCCCCACTTCCTTAGGGGCATCTTACAACCCCTCCCCACCCTGTGTTGCCCAGTGGTGACCATCTCCCAGGGTCTGGCAGTGCCGGGGGGCTGTATGCAGCGGGGAGCCTCGGCCAGAGTGGCCCAGCTTCGGGACAGCTACGAAGTCACCCCACAGAGATCTGTGCACAGGCGCTCCAGACCCACAGGCAAGCAGGGAAGGGCCAGCGCTCCCAGCGGCAGCACAAACTGCAGAACCCCATAAATCACCTGTGGTTCATCCACACAATGGAACACCAAGCAGCCTGAGAGGCCTGGGGGCCAGACGGAGATGGGAGGGAAGAAAGCCAGGGAAGAGAGCAGGAGGCAAGGATTCAGAGTGGGGTGTGCACACGCCCCAGGGGCTCACATCTCCGGAGGGGCTCGGGGAGGACCGGCAACTCCAGGGAAGAGAACAGGGGCCGGGGAAGACACTATCTCTGTCCCCATCTGCAAGTTGCACTTTATGAGCATTTAGACTTTTTACTTACGTTTACTTAGGTTTGCTTAAATTTAAAAGGACACACACACACACACACACACACACACACACACACACATAAAGTAAAATGACAAACAGCCCCCCTGAGCAGGAGCTGGAGGTCGCCCTGAGCAGTCTGCAGGCCCTAGAACTTCCTTCCAGATCTCCCTAGTCCACCGCAGGCCTGCTCTCTCTTCTCTGGGGAGGCCTCTGGCACCACCTGGCCCTGCACTTCGGCCCTGGATCTGTCCTCTGACTTCTGAGCAAGCACGGCCTTCCTCGAGCCCATCTCTGTGTGCAGCACACCCTGGGGTCCCTCCTATTCTCTTGGCTTCTGGACAACGATCAGAGGGGAGTCCAGAGTCTGGCCTGTGCCGGGACTTGCCGTGCCCTTTCCCTGGGCCACACCTGTGTCAGCCAACGGGGGTCTTAGTGGACCCGAGCTCGTGGCTTCTCCATTAAAGTGCCTCCTGGCCGCTGTGGCTCCAGCATGATCACGGGGCCCCCACAGCTCCCTGCCCGATGCCTTTTCCAACGCTTCCCCCACCCCCGATAATCCTCACAGCAACCCTGGGCAAGGTGCGGACCATCCCTCCCACTTTACAGACGGGAGAACATTAAGCTCAGAGAGGTTAAGTGACTCCCTCGAGCTCGTGACATTTTAACCAGGGCTTCTGGAGGACTCCGAAAACCTCCAAACCGAAGGGGATGAGATCAACCCAGGCCGCCAGTGCAGGGAAAGACTGGGGAGCTGCAAGGAGCCTCTCGAATCCTACTAGAATCCATATGCTAAAGCTCACCCCAGCTGCCGGCCCCAACATCTCCCAGCTCCATGCTCATGCACCACGGGGGCGTCCCCAGAATCCCAGCATGGACCCTCAGCCTTCCCAACCCCCCTGGGTTTTAAAGAAGCCCCAGGCCCAGGGTTCCTGAATTGACACGGCCAGTCAAGGGGACTGGAAGGTACCAGAAGGGCAGCAAGTGAGTCCAGATGTTGAGAGTCTCATTGGTCATTTGGAAAAGGCTGAGGATACAGGCAGTGGCGGAGCTCTGTGGGTGTCGGTAGCCGAAGAGGATGCCCTGCTCATGGAAGACCTGCAGTGGGGGAAAGAGAAAGGAGCACCGAGGTGAGGCCAGATTCGTCTGGCAGTGCTGGGGGCCATATGCAGCGGGGAACTCTTCAGCCTGGAACACGTGACCCCAAGTCCTTGAGCTGTCAACCTGCTTCCCTCCCCCACTTCTCTCCTCCTTCCCATAGGTTCTAAAATCCAGGTCCGTCCAGAAGCCTGTAGCAGCTGGAGGAGGGAACTCAAGACCCCGGCTCCCTTTGGGAATCCGGCCAATCTTCGTGTTCCCAGACAGACACACTTACTCTTGTCATGAATATTGCCTAAGAATCTGGTTTTGCACCCTCTGCCTGGGGCCTACAGCTCGGTCTCTGGATGCCTTCGTGCTTGGAAGACATATATGCTGTCTGTCTGAGCCAACATGCCCCAGATGTCAGGAGCCGGTGGGGAGATCTCTGCAGAAGATCCCCCCCCCCGCCCCGCAGGGCCAGGATATATTCACCAAAGCGCTTCATAAAGGCCTTTTGATGATGAAGACAGTGATGGCATTAGCCTGGGATGCAGGTGGAGCAGGGCCTGCCACAGCTGGGCCTGCCCGAGTCAGCCCCTCCCCACACAGCCCACCTGGCACGTCTCTGGGTCACCAGACCCGAGAAGACAGGTGGACTGGTCAGCTGACCTCTGGGCATCAACCCGCCCAGAAGACTCCATCCAGAGCCATTAAAAATGTAATTGTGAAAAGGAGGCAAGAGGGACGAAGTTCAGCATGTGCTAGTAAGTGAAAACAAGTAGAATGTAAATCGTACTCCTGGGGCGATTATAAGGATTATAGAAGTTTAAGGACACAGGCAGGGCAGAGGCTGGGGAGAACACAGGAGAGGGGAGAGTTGGATTCATTGAGGATCTGTAGGAGACTTTCTTTCCCTTTTGTGTTGATTTCAGCCAGGGTGTCTCAGTCTTGACACTATGGACATTTTTGGCCAGATAACTGTGTGTTGCGGGGGGCTGTCCTAGGCAACACGTGAGTACACCCATGGCCTCTCCCTAATGACACCAGTGGCACACACCGTCCCAAGCTGTGACAACCCAAAACGTCTCCAGTAGTGCCAACATCCCCTGGGGGCAAAGTGACCCCACTTAAGGAAGGACCACTGATGTAGAGGAATGTTGTCAGAAGCTCTGAAAGGCAAACTAAAAATAAGTAGATTCATAGAGGCAAATAATGACAATGATAACACTAGTAGTCATAATATAAATCGAGTCACAAGAATACTTTACAGTTTTCCCTGTGGTTTTCTGGGGCTGAGGGAGAAAGGGAAAACAGAGAATGCCAACCCTAGCCACCCAGCTCTCCTCTGGATTACATCTTCTTAGCTTAAGAGAGAATCTCCATTCAAAGGTACATAATAGGGGGCGCCCGGGTGGCTCAGTCAGTTAAGCAACCGACTCTTGCTTTTGGCTCAGGTCATGATCTCACCGTCATGAGATCGAGCCCCATGTTGGGCTCTGCGTTGGGGATGGAGCCTGCTTGAGATTCTCTCTCTCCCTCTGCCCCTTCCTCCTCCTCCACCTCTGTGAAATAAATAATCTTAAAAAAAAAATAAAGAACACAATGGGTAACATGTACTATGTCTTGAGGTTCTGAGTCAAGTGGAGAGAGTGAGGGGTTACCAGGGTAAACAGTCAAATCTGGCCCACTGATGTACCATGTGTCCTTGAGCCGGCCACGACTCTCAGTGCCTCAGCGTCCTCACCTATAACACCATGAATACACGCTCTCTCTCTCTCTCTGACAAATAAATAAAATTTAAAAAAAAATCTTAAAAAAAAAAAGGGGGGATGGCTGAGTGGCTCAGTCAGTTAAGCATCTGCCTTCAGCTCAGGTCTTGAGCTCAGGGTCCTGGAATCAAGCCCCACATCAGGCTCCCTGCTCAGCGGGGAGCCTGCTTCTCCCTCTGTCTGCCGCTCCCCCTACTTGTGTGCACACTCTGTCTGATAAATAGATAAAATAAAAAATCTTTAGAAAAACCGTGAACACGTTCCCGGTTCAGTTTAGAAAAACTAAGAACACGTTCTTAGTTCAGTTCTGGGTTCAACTGGTCAACCAGGGGGAGGGGGACCCATGAAGCTGGTTCATGGTCCAGTGAAAAAATACTATTTAAATTAGGTTTGGGTCTTAGCTGATTAAAGCAATTTGTTCCAGTTTTTGATTCACGGTCCAATCCTGCTGACATCCCCGGTTTACAGCAGACAGGCTTCTGTCCCGGGCAGCAGGAATCCTGGCCTCCAGCTGCCCACCCCACCAGGGCCGCTGACAGGGAGGCAGACGGGCCCAAGGCCTTCAGCCTTCAATGAGTGTGAGGAGGGTAGCGTGTGCTTGGTGGACGTGCGAAGGCCCTGCGGCAGAAATTGGGGGTCTAGCATTCCATCTCATATTTCAGTCTTCCCTTTATAAAGAAAAATAATTTATTAAGGCATTGGCCTCTTATTAAAATGTAAAGACTCCAGAACAGAGCCACACTGTTGTTGATGATTCATGCCTTCACATGAATGAGTTTAGCAGATCCTGTGTAGGAGGCGATCTCATGACCAGGGGGCCTGCAGAGCACTGGGCACATGGGGGGTGGTAACCCACAGGAAGGGGGGCTGCAGGACAGCTCGGACACGGGGCCCCCAGGTGGGTAGTGGAGGGACAGGAGCCAGAGGGGGAGACCGCCTACATTTTGCTGGTGGTGACACAGGGTGTGACTACCGTTCTTCCCTCTTCGGATCCTGCATTTGGGGAAGCGAGAAAAGGCGCCAACACAGTCAAGGGCCCGAGGGGAACAGAAGGGCTGGGAAATTCACAAGCTGGACAACTTGACCGCACTCAAGAATCTTGCCACAGATCTGGGGAGGCTATTTGACCACCAACGCCAGGACTGGGCCTATATTAAAAGAATCTCCTCTGACCTGCTATCCTGACCCCAGACACGGATGGGAAGCCCACTAACCGTGCCGTAGAGACAGGATTTAAAGCAGCCCTTCCAAAAAAAAAAAGGACAGATAGGTAAAGAATGGACAAAAGAAAGGAAGGGAGTCCTTCAGTCCCAGAAGAGCCTGTTCTGACCTGCTCCTTCCCTCCTCAACTTGAACCTCAGTTTATTAGGCCAAAATGCTAGATGTGCTCTTGTTCTGAGCCCCTCTGAGTAGGGGAAAGGAGTGGCATTCCCTCCATCTTCCCACTCTGGCCTTGCTAAAGCGCTTTGCATCGAGTAGATCTCAAAAGAAAGCATGCTACATAAATCTAAACAACAAATGAAACATTTGAAAACAATTTTGTATTCATACCCAGTCTCAACCCCCAAAGGCAAATTGCACTCATTGCCTTTAGTACTCCGTAGCTGGGTCTCATTCCTAAGCACCCCCAGGTTAGCAGGTGCTGGCTAATTTGCACAATGGAATTGATTTGTAGGAATACACCTTGCATCCCTGGTTGCAGGCTAGGCAGTTTAATATGAAATGAAATCAAATTGTGTGCAGCCTATTATTTAGAAGTGAGAATGCCCAGGTTCTCGGGGTGGAAGGCCACAGCAGCGGGTTTTTCTTTTAAGTGCCTGCCAAGGCTTGGTTTCCAGGAAAGACACTGTGCAGCCACCAGCTGATGCCTGAAATTCCACTGCGACCATTTCAAACCCTTGGTTTCTCTAGCCGTTAATCACCTGGGGAAAATCATCGCGCATTCTGGCTCACGGTAAATCGGAGCAGATTCTGACAGCAGGCCGTGGGTGGGGCGAGGCAGAGTGGGGGGGTCAGGAGCTGTCAGGGAGGCAATCTGCATTTCCCGCCCAAATTTCAAGGAGTCCTCATGACCTTGTGAGGGACAGCCTTTCATTGTCCCCATTTCACAGAAAAGGAAACTAAGGCCCAGGGAGGTTAAGACATTTTCCAAGCTCCCGGAAGCAGGGGGCGCAAATCTGAAAGCTGCATGCACACCTCAGACTTCATTTCTTCGGCCTCTTACGCTATCACGGGCCTCTCAGAAGGGCTCTGGAGGAGAGGAAGCACTGATCCCTTGACCTGTGGTGTGAGTTTGAACTGCCAAGCACTTCTCTGGGCGTCAGTTTCTTTAGTACTCCGTACTACTTTAGTACTAAAATTCAAGACCCTCACACCCGCCACCCCCATACCTCAGAATGTGACTGTCTTTGGGAGACAGGATCTTTAAAGGGGATGAAGTTACAATGAGGCTGTCGGGGTGGATCCTGGTCCCATCTGACTGGCATCCCTTAGAAGCAGGGGCGACACCAGGGGAGGGCGTGCACAGAGGAACGGCCACGTAAGGGGCAGCACGGAGGCCCCGTCTACAAGCCAAGGAGAGAGGTCTTCCAGAGAACCAACCTTCGCCCGTACCTTGATCTTGGACTTCCAGCCTCCAGAACTGTGAGAAGTAAATTTCTGTTTGTCCAGTCAGTCTGTGGCACTCTGTGATGGCACCCTGAGCTGGCTGGTTGGGTAACAATTTCTCTAAATCAGTGCCTTGCAAATGTTCTTCCACAGGTGTCAGCAGATGGCCCAGGGATCTTGCTGTAACTCGATGGGTCTAGGGGAGCATCTGCCACTCCTCACAAGCTCCCAGGGCACGCATGACGGGCCCATCCCGTCCCTCAGCATCCGGCGGCCACCTCCCTGCCCAGAATCCAATTCATTGCAAAATACGAGGTTCCCTTTAGGTAAGAGGAACAAGATGCACCTAAAGACACGGGCGCGAAAAGCCCAAGCAGGAGAGAGAGACAAGGGAGGAGTCTGGTGAGGCGTTCGCGGGCAGAAGGCACAGAGGTAACAGAGAAGGCAAAGGGCAGGCCACGAGCTGATGCACCGATTACAAACTGCCATTTAAGGGAGTGCCTGCAGTGTCCTTGGCACCAGGTTGGACACAAAGCCACTGTCTTATGCAGGACAGACCACGCTTAGCCCTGGCCAGAGGGAGCACTTAGGATCTCAATTAAAATACCATAAAACTGCTTGTACACAACCCACATGCAATTA